CACCCATTTTTTTCTCATTCTCATTCTCATTCTTTTTCTCTTTTTTCATTTCAACCACACATTCTATCAATAAAATAATATTACACATAAACCTAAAAATTCTCTTTACTTTTCAACCACACATTCTTCCATCAATCACTATTCAAAAACACATTTTTTCACAAAAATGGGTGTCAAACACCCCCTAACTAACCTGACTTTTTATCTAATGATTGAAATCATAATATTAAATATAATCACAACTTCAAAATCACAATACAAAAATTAAAATTTGTTTTTCCGATGTAAAATCGACGTGTGTGTGTGAAAAATTAAGCATAGCATTATGAATTTATAAGTTCTTTCAATTTCAGACCCTCAATGGTCAAATATATTTTTTCATCACTCGTAAGATGTACATACTCCAAAACTTATTCTTTTCGCTATTTTCAAGTGTGTGAACTAATATTGAATTTTATATTATCATCACCTCTATAGTTTAGGTAAATCTCACCAATTGCTAGTCAATATATCGATAAACAAGAATTCTTCATAGTTCGATTGTTTCAATATCTAGGACTTAACTAGGTTAATAACCCCTTATCAAAAGTCAAATTTTCTCAAATAAGTGTTTGAAACATAATCAATGCATTTGGTGTATCTTATGTTTTATACACCTGCTTTTTCCGATTTTCTATTATTTATTATTTATTATTTTCAACTTTTTTTCTTTACTTGAAGTATTCTCACCTTTAAACTTTCTAAATGACCCATGTAACAAGCTTTCAGCCGATAACTCCCAAATCAGACGACCATAGGACACCAGGTTTTAAATACACTTACAGACTTAATTGCTCGAGTCATAAAGGTTATGAAGAGAAATTTTCAAATAAAATAATAATTTTTTTATACCTTGATTAGTGCAATGTCCCTCATTAAATACTAATTTAAGAATAACAACCTTTAACTTGAGGTTTTCACCCAATTTTATCCTATTGACTTTAGACAATCCACACAAAAAAAATTCTCACACGTGGAATCCCCATTTATCTCAATATCTTCTCACAATAGTGAAATCCCCAAAACTATTCTAAATTTGGTCCAAGGATGTAAAATTTTGTGATTTTGGGTTTAGCATCTATGGTCCACTATTTCAATATATCCAGTTATGAATTCAATTCATCCACACACAATGTTTAACTTAATTCATGTGCTCAATATATATCAAATTTCACATGAAAAAACAAAAAATAATCTAAGTATACAACTTATTCGTCATTCATAGATCAATTTATGATTCAATACATTTCACATTGTTAACCAGGCCAACTAACTCACACAAGCACACAAAAAGAAAATATTTTTGAAAATTTTCATTTTTTTTTTACATTAAATTACACAAATACACGTAAAACAAACATGAAAACTCATGTTTTCTACACTTAAACTTAAATTAGACATTGTTCTCAATATTTTAAATCCTAAATCCGCATATAAAAGGGGTGGCGAAGAAAGTGAAGAAAAGACTCCCCTGATATGACGTATAATTCAACTGCTAGCTTTCCTAGTACTTCCGTTGGCTCCTTGGTCAAAATTGGTTTAAATGTTACGTGACGTCATGTTCATGAAAAAAAAA